GCATGCACTGTACTGTATGTTCTCAGCAGAGTCCCGTGTCCTTGTAGCTTTTCCAATTTTCTTAGGTTGTATTCAACCTCGGGCTTGCCACAGGCAGCTGGAATAGCTTTATGGTCTACTTGGAGAATATTTATTGAGTATTTCAGCTAATGCTTCTTCCTAAGACAAGGGATCTGCTCGACAGAGCCGAACTGATGAGTTGAGTGTCTTTTGCCTCAGGCTACAAATACTTAATATCACATGAAGGGGAACCAGGAGAGATGGAACAAGTGCATGTGTGCATTTGTGTCTGTGTGTATCAGCTTATTTAAAACGTTGTTAAAGAAGATTAAGTGCTCAAATTTAGGACTTTTCCTCCTAGCACCCATGAAAAAGAAAATTTGGGACTGGCAGCTTCTGGTGTGTGTGGGGATTCAGTGCAAAGCTACTAAAAAATAGCACCTTCTGCAGGAAAAGGAGATGAAAATGCTCTAGTCTGGGGTGCATCTCCCCCCTCATTGCATACCAATAAGCTAGTGCTTCTCCTCTGGAGTTAGGTGGCACATGGACTTCTCTCCCGTGTAGTCACAGTGGAAGTCACCTGCACAAGGGGATGCTAAACCTCTGCAGTCCAACAGGGCTCCAGAAGGGAGGCAACCTCTTAGATGTCAAGGCCAAAAGGGGACCACTGTAACCGCCCTGTGGAGAGTCTTGTATAACACAGTCTGGGCTGACCAGTGTCCCTGTGCCCACGGGGAGCATCTGCAGCATATCCAAGGTTTCCCAGAGTAACCACAGTCTAGACAGGATACCAGCAGCACCGAGGACCCACTGCTGGCAGCCCTGGCAGGGGGTGTGGTGAGGAGACAAGGTGGAGGCCGTGTTGCTGGTGCCTTCACTGCTGATGTTATTCAGCCATCTAGGCTGGGGTTGTGCCAGAAATTACACCTCTTACTTGCTGTACAGGCTGTCCTGAACTGGACAAGCTGAAAAAGGGCTGGTAGCCTTACTGGCAATTAAGAAATCAAGCAACCTGCCCCAAATACCTTATCCCTAGTTCTCTACTGTTGAGCTGTGAGATGAGGTGGTAAGGTTTCTTATGGGACGTTAGAAAGTAGAGACAGATATATTATATAGCAGGATGCTATCAGCAGCCTGCAAAGGACAAAAGAGATTTCTCTGCTCCCCTCCCTGCTGTCCCCTGTGCAATCCCTCCAGGATCGTCCATCCAAAATGTTGAGAGGAGCATAGAAACTCATGGATGTGAAGAAGCAGGTCACAGCTCTGCCTGGAAGAGGGCTGAGGGGCTGGGAGGATGGTGGTCAAGAGTAAATGGCCTCAAGTTGTGCCAAGGCAGGTTTAGATTGGACATTAGGAAAAATTTCTTCCTCGAAATGGTTGTTAAGCATTGGATCAGGCTGCCCAGGGAAGGGGTCGAGTCCCCATCCCTGGAGGTATTTAAAAGCCAGGCAGACGAGGTGCTTAGGGCCAGGGTTTTAGTGATGGGATGGCAGGGTTAGGGGAACGGTTGGGCTTGATGATCTTAAGGGTCTTTTCCAGCCTAAACAATTCTATGATTCTATGGTCTGGGGACGGGGAGGAGGATACTGATATGCTTCGACTGCTCCTTTGGGCCTTTTATTCCCAGTAATTGGTACATTCCTTCCCGCTGCCTTTGTGTAGCTTTTGAGTCACGGGGAAGGTGCCCCAACGTAAACAGATCATTTGTGGTAGCCGAAGAAAAATGCTCTCGGCTGCTGCCTCGGGTGCCAGCGTCAAATTTCAGCTCAAACCAAGCTTCATCCACAATTTAGCTGGGTGGTGAGGAGTTGGACTGGTCTCTGAAAAGACGTGATGCAATTTGCTTGCACCCACAAAGGGGGAATAGTGTTCTTTGAAAATGCCTGTGTTGCTTTATAAAATGTCCTTGGTTTTCCACAGTCCTGTCATTTGAGAATGTTGCTTTTGCTGTTGTGGAAAGGGCAAATACCAGAGCGTCACTGAGAGGGGGGGAGACGTGCTGTGCAGGGCGAGGGGTCGAACTGGCTGATCCTGAGATTGCATTTTTCTGGAATAACTAGCACCCTCCAAAGCCAGGACTTCCAAACACGTCCGTGTGGCAGCAAACCTCTCGCTGACTTCACTGGAAGCTGCAGGATCTAGGGGTGCTCCTGGGCTGAACGAACTGATTTTTGTAGTGTAATTTGCTCACTTGGAGATTGCACCCAGGCCATCACCCTTCTCAGTACTGCTCCCTGCTGCCGTGTTTGGGCTTAGAGTCAGCCCTCTCCAGGCTTCAGCCTTCCTCCCACAGTCAGGTCTTGCACGAGAGTATCTCTTGGTGGGCTGTGGTCTATCAGTGGTATGGTGGTCTGCGAGCAACCTTGCGCTGTTGGTGTGTCCCTTCAGCTGAGGCTTTATGTGGACTTTGAAAGAGGCTGGAGAGAGTTGATTCAGCACAAGAAAAGGCTTTACGGGTTAGCTCAGCAGCCAGCTGGGTTGCGTTGGCACATGCTGCTGGTTATTACTAATGTCGTGCCATGGTAGCAGCACTTTTCGGAAGAGGACCTATCTTTGGGAAGGGTTTGGGAACTCTTCCTTAGGCTGTTCAGCACCCAAAGGTTTCACCTGAAAATCCTGACATATTAAAATCCCACTACTGCTATGCATGAAGCACCTGTGCAGAAATCAGTGAACCTCTTTCCCCATTAAAGTGTCTGCACTGCTTCAGTCCTGCATGGATCCCATACCATCTCCCAAGCTGTGTGTGTGTTTATAACCATACATTGCAGAGCCTGGCACAGATTAAATAACAGGGCCACACAGAGGGGCAGAAACAGTGCTGCAAATAGCTCCCATGAGCCTTGACCTCCAGGCTTGGCCTTGTTTGCTGGCCCACATTCAGTTTTGCAAAAAATAGTGTATTTTTATTGCCCTGAACAGCATGAGAGTTTAAGTTGCATGGTTGAGGGGATGGACAGCTTTGTATTGGAGGGGAAGCCGTGGGCTATCTGGAGTTCTCAAACTCATGGCTTGTGGTCTCAGAGACTGGCCAGAGGCAGGGCAAGGCCTCGGTGGACAAACAGACTTATTTTTTATTTCTATTTATTGATAATAACCGGTGATTGATGCTGTTACATCCTTGCTCCTTCAGGGCAGGCCAGAATCTGTTCTAATCACCAGCTGTTCTGTCCACTTTTCCTTCTGCAGCAATTGAAAGGGAAGATCCTTGTGAAAGGCAAGAAGCTGAGCAGGCAGGAGGACCCCACAAATGGGAACAACAACCTGGAGGCTGAGGATGTCTCTGATGAAGATGAAGCAGCTGAAATTGAAGATGAATCTGTAAAGACCGAGATAGAGCAGAAGGGGAAGGTAAGTAAAAGAAGTAACCGAGTCTCGAAAAGGGGCAGACCTGGAGAGGCAGAAGAGCTATAAACTAGATTTTTGCCTACTGCAGAAGGCTCTGAAGTCCCTCATCGGGAAATCCCATCTTGTTGAAATCGCTGGAGTTAAGGGTCCTGGTCCTTTCTCAGCTTAATCTTTGTCCCAAGTACAGACACAGATCTTGCAGAGCCAGCCAAGCATGAAGGTTGTCTTCTTTCCTTAAAAAAAGGCTGGAGGACCCTGCAGCTGGGCAGGGTCATGTAGCATTTATGGAAGCAGTGGAAGGGTACATGTTCAATCTATCTCAGTCTTATTTCCAGACATCTGTTTGTCATAGGACCATCAAGTATTTGTTACAAGAGGCTGGTGCTTTTCTAATCATATATTGGGACATACCTGCACCCTCACTGGCCATGTTTTTCTGACCTGGTGGAGGCAGGGAGGGAAGAGCTATGGAAAAGGGGTGGGTGTTTTGCGCTCTCTCATGAGGACATCCACTTTTCCAGACTGCGGGTCACTGTGAAGGCCATATCTCTTATGGACTAAGTTCATAGGTGATAAATACATTCGGTCCCACTGATGGCAAAGCTGATTGATGTTGCCTCTGAATCTGGTCTGGTCTATGCTTCCCCTTGCTGATTTGCTCACTCTTAGAGGGTCTTATTTCTTTCTCTGAACTGTAGTCCATAATGTGTATAATTTTGAAGTTTTTCATTTTCTTGCCTTGCTGGGAGCTGCTGGCTCTCACTTCGCCCTTGCACCAGTGAATGTGCAAGGCACACCAGTGTGCCCTTGTTGCCAAGAAGGCCAGTGGCACCCTGGGGTGCATTAAGAGGAGCGTGGCCAGCAGGGCGAGGGAGGTTCTCTTGCCCCTCTACTCTGCCCTGGTGAGACCCCACCTGGAGCACTGTGTCCAGTTCTGGGCTCCCCAGTTCAAGAAGTGTAAGTATTAGTACAAATACTTCCAAGTATGACCAATAATCTGGCTGAGAAATTTGGAGATCAATTAATGGAGCCATTTCAAATGGCTTAATTATTGCAGTCCTGGAATTTACAGTTTGAATAAATTTCATTATTAGCAATGAACAAATGTTGGAGCTGGATAAATGCACATGAAACTAGTGATGGTTTCTTAAACAGGGAGGGAGAAAGAGGAAGACAGCAAAATTTACAAAGAGGAAACAATGCAAAAGAAAAAAGGTCAGGCTCTGTGGAGGCCAAAACATCCTTCCCTTCACCTTATTTTCAGGTTTGCATGCTTGGTACCAGGACAGTAGGGAAAACTCATTGCTAAGGCTCAGTTGTAAAGTTTAGCAACTGGAGGCAGCCACTGATGTTGAAATACTTCACTGATGTTGAAGTGATCATGCAGAAGGCAGCAGAAAGGGCATCCCACCAACAAAAAGAGAATCCATCTGGAGAACACCATGCAACAGGGTGCTGGAACAGCAAAGCAGCTGGTTTCCGAAATCCTCTCTTAGCTCACCAATACAGGCTGATTGGGTTATTCCTGTGTTTGGAGCCCTAATCACTTGTGAGTTGTGATAGCCAAGCTGAAATAGCCAGTCACATAAAAACATGCAAATTAATACAGAAGGAGGGATGGCCCAGATGAAATGAAATATTCTTGGTAGTAACACTTGGGAAGTCAATGATATCCTTGGACAAGCCAGGATGGGCCTGGGAGGCAGTGATGCTCTGAGAGAAGGGATTAGCACTCTCCATGCAGGGCAAGGGACATGGCAAGGGCAGTTGTCCCTTTTCCGCCCTCTCTCTGCATAGGGGTGCCGCTGAGAGTTGGTAGCGTGCATCCTTTTCATGTGAAGATGGTGGAGAAGAGAAACTTCACAGATCCTAGACAAATCATTATTATTACTTTTGAGTACGTCTGCAGAAACTCCCCACAAATCTCTTCCTCTCCTGCCTTTAGAGCGATACCTTGAAGCTGGCCAAGGAGCTGTCAGACACAGTTGTCTACTGCAAGAGTGTCCATTTCAATGGCTTTGAGGACCCCAGCCATCCTCGGGCTTTCTACGAGATGTCATCATTCACGGAGAGCAAAGCTCTGAAACTAGCCCAGGAATCTGGTATGTACCTTCTGCCCTGGCAAAAGGCCATCCTCTGCCTCAGTCCCCCATAAAGGGGCAGCTAGCGGGGGTTAAGCATGAGGAGAAGGCACCCTGAAAGACATGGTTTATGATCTCTTTGGCCACGCATGTTACTGAGAAAGAGTGGAAATAACTTAATATCATAGAGGCTGTTACCAAGAAGGTAATTTCATACAGGTAGTTCACATTCAGCCAGACTTGCTAGGCAGAGGAGCAGTATATACAGCAGCATTAGAAGAGATAAAAGTAGCCCCCATCACTGAAAGGGCCATTTTCTTCTTTTTTTTCTGTAGCAACCAGTTTTATCCATCACAACATCAGGCACCTGAGCCGGATCTACCCTGCAGGCTGGAGGACATTCGGCTCAGGTAGATGTGCAATCTCAAGCCATTTGCAGGCAGAGAGGCTCAGTGGTCACTGGGAGAGATCAGCTCTTCAGCCAATGCTGAATGACTTTTCATAGGCCATTTTCTGGCTCACCTGAAAAGCGTTAGGAGAGCCTTTCCTGCACATTAATGTGCACAACCCTGCAATTTCACTGGAAGCAGAGTTATTGCTGTTTAACAAAGGAAGAGGGAGCCAGGAGTTACAGTCACTTACTGAAAAGCGGGCTAAAATCTCTGGCAGAGATAGAAATCGAACCCCAGAGCAAGGCCATAACCATAAGGGCCAAGCCATGGCCTGAGCTGTCCCCTGTAGTCAAAGCAGTGCATCATGCCTTCTCCCAGGGTGTTGAGACCCTGACCGTATATTGATGTCTCAGAGATTTGATGAAAACAAGGGTCGCAGAGCCTCTTAAGTGAATTATGTTGTAGCTCTCATCCAGGAAAGCTGGTGCAGTGATAAGTGGGCAGGCTGGTGATGGCTCTGTGGATGACGCTGGGTGTTGGAGATGTCCCAGTTGAGCCAACAGTGTCCAGCCAGACAAGAGAAGCTGCAGATACAGGGCTCCTTGGCCCCCAGCTGCGTGGACCTGCATGGGCTGGATGTGCCTGGCCACATGTGAACTCACTGGGTCCCGCAGCTCCTGTGGGGACACAGGTATCACTTATGGGCCATGCTCTCCAGCATTGAGCCTGACCTCAGGAGTGCCCCTGGGAAGCAACATCAGGTCCCTCAGGGTATGCTGAGGCCAAACTTGCATGCCTTATCTGACCTGAATTCAGTATTTGGGCACCCAAAATAAGATTTTTTTCAGAAGCCCTGCGTACTTGTGGCTCCTGGTAAAACCAGTATGCTACAGTTATTAAAGTCTTGCTTGCAGGTGGAAAAACAGGGGAGTGCCCTAAAATGCTTTTGGTCTTCAAGTATTACAGTGTATGTAGGACCCAGGACCGGGACAAATTGCCGTCTGTCCCAGAGCTGTCTTAGAAGTTGCTACAGAGGTTAGCATCACTCCTGAGAAACCAGTGGAGTACTGAGGAGGCGCTGGGATCCATGTGTGCTCCCTGTCTGCTATTATGAACCTGTTCACAGAGACTGCTTCCCGATTTGACATCAATGCTTTTAAAAAGACGGTGGCAAAATGGGAAGAATACAAGAAATCTGCCTGGTGTTAGGACACCGGTGAGGCTTGATCTATTTTGGGCAGGGGACAAAAAAGGGATGATTTGGTCACAGCTTCTGTACTTTTGCATGAGGAGTTCAGACAGCGAGGAGCTCTCTAGTCTAACCAGCAGAGGCATCAATGCCCCTCGGGATGGCAAATGGGAACAGGCGTATCTGGGCTGGAAAGCAGGTTTTATAATGAGGCTAAGTAGCCAGAGAAACAATCTGAGGAGGATTTGCTGGCTCCACTGCAGGAGATAACTCCTTCAGGATAGACTTGCATAGGTTTATCTAAAAGATGTAGTTGCCCAATGTGACAGAAATTCAATGCAGGAGACTTTTTGATCCTGTGGCAGGCAGGAGGACAACTGAGATGGCTGTAGTGGCTCCTCCTGTCTCTAACATCTCTGAATGCAAGAGATCCCCAGGGGTGGCAGACTGGGAAGGTCAGAGTTTATCACTACTCTTTGAAGCATGGAAAAGCCAATGTTTATGTCCATGAAGTGCAGTTTCATGTGAAGAGGATTAGTATTAAAGGACTCCCATTGATTTATCTGAAAGTGACTGCATTTATTTATTTATGTTGCAGTTGCCCTGAATTTCCAGACAGCAGGCACAGAAATGGATGTCTACCAGGGTCGGTTCCAGGACAATGGGTTTTCTGGGTATGTCTTAAAGCCGGAATTCCTCCGGGATGAGCAAACCAAATTCAATCCAAAATCCATCACAGAAGGAACATGGGGGACAAAGAAGAAGCTTCTGCTTAAAGTAAGAATAGAAGTCGGAAAACGTGTCAGTAGCGTCCACCTTCAGGGGGGGTGTGTAGGTTGTACCTTCTCCTTCTCCCGGTGCCACCTGGGCAATGTTATCCTAACCCTATTCATTTCCCATCGCTGGGGTCTCTACTTCAGTCCTGCATGGGCTCTCATCCTCCAAGGACTTACTCATGTGTTTAATGTTCAGCAGTAGGAGAAGTTAATGACAATATTCACTGTCGTTACAGAAACGTACGGGCAGACATGCAGTCAACAGTCACTACTGTTTTTTCCAAGTATCATCTGATCACTGTGGGGACAGTTAGAAAAGTTGCCTGCTCCCTAGCCAGCTGGCTGGGCTGGAACAATGTTCATTAGGTGCTTTGGCTCATCACAACTTCGCCTGAAAGACCAGCACCGACTTGTCACAACAGGCCCTGCACTCCTGGAGAAGGAGAGGGAAGTTTGCCAGGGAGCCCCCTCTCCTAATGATGTCCTGACCTCTTCCTCTGTTTCCTCCACAGATCATCTCTGGTCAGCAGCTGCCCAAGGTGAACAAAAGCAAAAACTCCATCGTTGATCCTAAGGTAACGGTAGAGATCCACGGTGTCCAACAGGATAACAACAAGAAGCAGACCAAAGTCATTGAAAACAATGGTAAGGGATTTTCTTCCACGCTGTGCTCCCCTGGGGCAGTAATGCTGTAGTTCATGTAGCAGAGTGTTCCTTGCCAAGACCTCTGCCCTGTGGCCAGACCTGCCCAGGTGCACCCAAGCCTGCCGCTCTAAGCAGGTACATGAGATGCTGTTGGCCTGATTCAGTGCAGGGATGCTGGTTATAGACTGCTGGTGGCATGAACTAGCCTCGCAGACTGATGTCCCTATGGAGAATTAATTTCAGGGGTTCTTTCCTCTCTTCTCTCTCTAAGATGTTTGGAGACAGAAACTCTCTACAAAACAACATCAGCTATATGAGTTGTTTTGAAGCTGGCTGCCAAATTTGCAGAGCTAGAGCTCCATGCAGTTGGACTTGACCTGGGATTGCATGGGTCCCCACCAAGATCTTCCCAGAGAAGGCTTCTTGTGAGGCTGATTTTGTCCTGAAAGTGTCACAAGCTCACAAAAGATTGAGGTTTCAAGGGACTTGGGAGGTGTCTGTTCCAGCTTCTGCCCAAAGCAGGACCATCCTCAAAATTAATTCAAGTTGCTCAGGGTATTCCCCAGGCAAATTTTGAATATCTGAAAAGATGGAGATTCCCCAGACTATCTGGGCTCTCTTAAGTGATCCAGTCTTTGACTGACTTCATAATAAAATAAGATATCCCTATTCTTAACCAGAAATTCCCCCGTTGCAGTTTGTGCCTGTTATGCATCAAGCTTTTGCTGTGCACCTGTAGACCCTGGCTCTAGCTTCTCTATAAGGAGGTGGGGGGGGATGGCAATAATAACCCCCTTAGCCTTCTCTGGGTTGAATAACTCAACCTCTCCCAGCCTCTTCTCATACGTAACATAGTCTGTGCAAAAGGAGAACGCTTCCTGTGGCTCAGAGCCTCCTCACAAGGCAGGGACACTGCATCTGCTCGTCCTCTCAGCCAAAGCGGTGCTGGTGCTAAATCAATGCACGTCACAGCGATGTTACAGGTGAGGGGGTGAAAGCCATAAGCCCCCGTCTCCAAGAGTCAGGCTCAAGCCTTACCCAGCCCTGACCTCAGAGATCGCACAGACATTTCACCTCCCTGTGGATCATTCCTCATCGGTCAGCCGTGGCTGTGATGTCCCTCCGTGCAGTGAGGGTCTGAATACTGTGGCCTTCAAAGATTGTAGAGGGGAGGTTCAGCCCTCTTTCCCATGGGAGCAAGGAGGCAGTAGGAGTCTGAATAATCAGACCTCACCCTCCTGCTGACAAACACACATGTATACACACACACACACTGCTTTTCTGCGTGAAGTTACAGCCACGTGCTAGAAAGCCAATGCGTATTTTCCTCCCTGCGATGTTTCAGGATGTTTTGAAAACAATGTTTCCCTTTTCCTCTTTCCTGTTTGAGTAAATCTGGCCCAGCTCCTAAAGCTCGCGGCCATTTCCGTCACCTACAATAATTTTTATAATGTCTAGAGTCAAAGCTGTGTAGGGAACATTTCAGAACTGCCAGGCCTGTTCCTCAGGGCTGCTCAGCACACCCAGCTCCATGGGCAGCCCTTGGCTGGCTGGAGGGATGCTGGAGGGATGCTGGAGGGGTGCTGGAGGGACTGTTGCCCAATGGAAAGTGAATCAAACCATAAAAACATCCGTGCTGGAAAGGGGCAGCTGCAGAGAGGGGGTTGCATTTCATGGGCTGAAGTTTCAGATATGGGACCGTGCTTCAGCACCTCACCTGGTTTGATGGTGATGTGACTGAAGCATGGGCTGTGGGCACAGATCAGTCCCTGGTGGTGCAGCCGTGGAGCTCGAGAGGCTGTGGGAACCTGCTGGCTCAGCAACCCTAAGCATCTCACTATGGTTCTGAGATGGGCTGAAACCCCCCCATAGATGTCAGTACAGTGAAACTACTGTCCTAGGGCCGATGACTTCCCCTCAACTTTCATGATTTCTGCTTCCATAGGATCAGCAGCACTGTTTTATTTTCCCAAGGATGAAGGGGGTCAGGAGCACGTGTGTGTTATCTGAACAGTCCACTTGATCTAATCCCATGAAAATCCAAATAAAGTGCACCAACCCAGCGCAGGTATTTTGCTATGGCACTGTCCACAGGCCCATCTCAGCCCTTCAGGGCCTCCTGCCGAATCGTCCACAGACCCTCCATGACCAGTAGGCTTGAGCTGATGTTTTGCTGTCCTTGGGCTTCCAGTCTGCACAGGCTGGGCCAATGGCAGCAGGGTTTCAACCAGGATGTCCTCTCCTCCTGTTTGTTTCTGGGGAGTGGTTTATTGAAACTGCAGAGAGCACCCGCGGTGACCTGGGGAGAGAGCACCAAGCTCGCTCTTCATCTCTCATCTGATGTGTCGGTCTTAGTTTTGTTTGCTTTGTGAGTCCAGATCACAAGATCCTTATCCATACCAGAAGTGGGACTAGTCTGGCTGTCTCAGACACTGCTCTTATACAGGGAGACATAAAACATTTTGTCCACAGACCTGATGATGCTTTTTGTAATCAGGCACTCCTCATTAAACCTTTCTTGCAGACAGGGGAGCTGAGGCACAGATGGGTGTACCTGGAGCACTCAGTGAGGCTTAAGGCCCCAGGAGGCTGTCACAACACAAAGGCACAGCTCTCCTCTCTGCTCCCCCACTGGTTTAGGGCTGTAAAAATTTGCAGCTGGTCCAAAGGCAACGAAAGACATCCAGGCATCAGCCAGAGAGAGCCCGTGGAGCAGAGCTGAGTTCCGGGAGTGTGGTGCTGAGGTCTGCAAGGAGCAGTCTAAGCCAAAGGATTTATTAATACCAGGTAGCAAATCCGTGTCAGAGCTGGGAACAATGGCCTTGGGACCTTATGAGACCTTCGGCCTGGGTCAGATTAGGTTGGCAGTCAGGCAAAATCTCTGTCCATTTGCAACCATCTCTGACCTCCATCCTTATCTGCCAACATCTTTGACCTCCATCCTTGCTTGTGAGCATCTCTCACCTTCTTCCTTGTTTGTGAGAAGCTCTGACCTTCACCCTTGTCTGTTTTGCCCAGGCTTTAACCCAAAATGGGATGAAGAGTTTACATTTGACATAGAGATCCCTGCACTTGCCCTGGTCCGGTTTGTGGTGGAAGACTTTGACATGTCGACCAAGAATGACTTCATTGGGCAGTACACCCTTCCCTTCACTAGTCTGAAGCAAGGTAAGGCCCTGCTCCCTGTTCCTCACAACCACTAGAGCCCTCTGGGAAGCTCTAGTGTCCTAGATGAGAGGTCCAGAGCCATCACACCTCTGGTCAGAGCAGGTCGTCTCTCTGGTGTATGGGCAAGCCGATAAATGATTTATTGGGCAGATGTTAACACTGTCTCTGGGGAAGGGCTCTCCTTTATCACCAGTGGCCTTGAGCACGTTAAGTTACCAGTGCTCAAAGCCGTGCCTCCCAGACCTACCTGTTCTGTGGGGTACTGGGAGCAAAACACTCTGAGACAGGGAGGTGTTTTTGCAGAGTCTTGGCAAATGTTAGCGAATGTTTTTCCAACTGGCCTAAAGGCCACTTCCCATCTGTGTCTCTGCTTCCAGGTTACCGCCACATCCATCTTCTGACCAAGAATGGAGACCCATACTCCTCCTCCACCCTCTTTGTGTACATCGAGATCCAGGACTGTGATTAGCAGCTCAGCAATTTCAGGGCACAGTGAACTTCGTTACAGACCTAGAAGGAATTCAGCGTGCGAAGTGCGCCAACATCAGGGTCCCATCAAATCCCCAGTGCCTTCTCTGGGGCAGCACACGGTGCCCCACAGGACTCCTGGAGTGAAATAGCCATCGACCTTCTCCCTTCTGCATGCTGGAAACATCCTAGTGCTGCTGTCGAGATGAATCTTTTTGTACCTGTTTGACCAATCCAGCTGTGTTTTTAGTTCACTTTCTGTAGCGTGATTTTTTACTTCTGCTTTTAGCGAGAGGATAGGGACTCCTTTTTAGCAAAGTACAGCTCTGGAGTTGAGCTCGGTCAGACATCTGGACAAAACACCCAACATCTGTGCAAGAAAAAAATCCACCCAGCACTGAAATCAGTGGCCAGATGCCAGGTGACTTCTTGCAACTTCAGATGTCAGCCATCTTGCACCGTATGAAGTCTTAAACGGGGACAACAGTTCCCCTCTTATCTGTTACAGATTAAAACAAGAAAGCTGCACTACAAAGGCCCACGTTATATTAACTCGACTTTCCTTTTGTATTATAATAAAAAATCCATGAACACTACTCGGCCTGTGTGCCTGGCTCTCCGCCAGGCCGCTTTGCATTCAAAGCCTGGCTCTCGTCCTGGGAAGGAGAAAAGAAGCTGCCGAATGGCAGATTTCCTGCTAACCCAAAGTGAAACCTGCTCAAAGGGACCTCAGAGAATGTCTTTTGCCGATGACAGTGGAATTACAATCAACTGAGAGTAGGGTTTGTTTTTTTTTTTAACGTAGTAAAACTTTCTTTGTTTGTGTTTTTATAGAAAAACGACATTTTTTAACGCAGAGGAAGCGGCAGTAGCAACCGTTGTAAATGTTAGCCTGGTCCCAGTTGCACGGTAGAGGTAACCTAACACAAACAGACCGGGGTGTTTTGAGCAACAACACAGTATTTATGGCAAAAGGTGATTTTTTTTCTTCAAGTACAACTACAGAGTTAAGGGAATATTGTTGAAATAAAATAATATATATTTTGAAGTGCCAACTATGTTACTAACAATATGTTAGACTATTAAAAGTAAAAAAGAAAAAAAAAATCTGGAAAAGTCCAATTACTCGTCACTGTTTCTGTCTTTACTTGAATGCAACACACATGAAGCTGGAGACTGACATGTTTGATTTCTTAAAGCTATCAGTCTTTCTGGGGTTTTTCATGCCTGGTGGTGGAGAGGATGGGCTGCTACCAAAAAGGTTAATGTCCTTTTGAACAAATTCCAGTCCACTCACTCCCCCACCTATTTTTGAGTCCAGAATAGCCTGGATTTAGGGATCCTTGGGCCCACTCCAAAACTGGGTTTCATTTAGTCCTACCTGGAATTTATTATGCTGCAGTAATCATTGCTGGACACATTGATTTCATTTTTTTTTTTCCCTACAATCTTGTGTGATGTTGTAAACCATTGCCAGATTAAATGTGAATTATATCCACAACTCAAAGGCTCATATTGAATTAATAACCAGCGGTTGAAAGAGTTTACAAGTGGCAGAGGCCACCGAGGCAGAACGGGTTCTCCTGCAGTGACACGAACTCTCCCAGCTCACCTCCAGGATGGGATATGCTGAGATCAGGAGATGCGTTTGAAGGCCAAGGCTGGAGCCACCTTGACCCCAGCTCAGCCTGAGTTCGGTCCCTGCTCCCAGGATGCTCTGAGCATTTTGTTTTAAGGAGTCATGGGATAAAAAGGATGAACGAAGGATACCCAGGGTTGCCCTGTACCACGCAGGGAGCCTGAGAGCAGCACCAGGACAAGGGGCAATGGGCACAAACTGAAACATAAGAGGTTTCAGTTGAACATGAGGAAGAACTTCTTTACTTTGAGGGTGACAGAGCAGTGGCACAGGCTGCCCAGGGGGGCTGTGGAGGCTCCTTCTCTGGAGATATTCAAACCCTGCCTGGATGAAATCCTGTGCCCCCTGCTCTGGGTGACCCTGCTTTAGCAGGGGGGTTGGACTGGATGATCTCCGGAGGTCCCTTCCAACCCCTGCCATTCTGGGATTCTGTGATCAGAGACGTTCCTGCCCCCTCGCTCCTGTCGTCACAGGCTCTTGTGGAGCGGGTTGGATCAGCCCGCTGAGTTGTCTGAGAACAAATTATTTGCATTTTTGATGTTGCGGGATTAGATTTCAGCTGGATTATTGAGCTAAACTGGCTCTCACTTGCCTGCTGTAGCCAGCACTGGAGAAGTGGGGGACAGGGAGCAGGGAGAGATGTGGGGGCAGAACCACACTATCCAGGGTCAGAGTGGGCTTAGGTGGACTGCACAGAGAAGCCAGGGTTTCCTCTTCTGCCTGTTGTACACTTAAGTAAAGGCAGGCAAGATCCATGGGAAGACAGCACATCCCTCATTAGGTAGGTTCAGTTGGGGGAAAACTACTGGAGCCAGGTGGGAATGCAGCTGAGATTGAGGTGGGATGGACCAGAGCACGATGGACAATGCTGCAAGGTCTCCTCTTTCCCCAAAGGAAGGAACAAGGTCCATGCCATTAGTGAGGGACCTCATCTCTGAGCAGATTAGGAAGTGCTGGAGCCCCATGATGGGGAAGAGCAGCAGAAAGAGGACATGGCCCACCAGACACCACAGCAAAAGTGACACGCGGCATGAAAGGGAGGATGTGGGTGAGCAGCTTTCCTTTAGAAATCAGAGGCAGAGAGTAAAACCAACTCTCCCCAAGAGGAGAGCAGAACAGCAGCAGTTTCCAACAGCCCCAAATGTCAGAGGGATCTATTATCTGTAAAATCCCATGCTGTTTTTTGAGTCCTGGCAGGAGCGCCCCGTTCATGTTGTAGGGAACCACCCTAATCTCCTTAATCCGACTGTATTTCCACCACTCTCCATTTGATTGCATGATGCTCGTTAGACCTACAGTCATGGCTGATAGGTGGAATCACTGCATTTTATTGAGTAGCCCATGCAATTCGTTAATTTGGGAGCTGTCAGGAGCGTGCTGCAGTGGGGTGATGTGAATATTTTTGCTTCCAGCAGTGGCAATAGAGGCTGAAACAGGGATAATGTGCACTGATTGTATCTAGTGTGAACACAACGGGAGCAATCACGCAGGTAATTGGACTGATCTGTGTCTCTGCTTGACTCTTACCTTATGACAGGGTGGGGGGGGTTCAATGGGTTTGGGCCTGGACCCTCAAGCAGAAATGGGATGAAGTGGCACAAGCATGGAGATAGTGATGGGGTTGTGGCTTATTTGAAGGAACTACCGATTCTTAAACACAAAGGTCTGTCCAGAAGACCCCATTGCCTGGAGGTCCCTGCCTCCAGTCCAGCCAGATGGTGACACTTCACCACTATGGCATGGTCCCAGGTGTGCGTGAGACCTCGCTCCTCAACCAAGAGCCACCTGCAGCTCCTCAGCTCCATCCCCACATCCCTGCAGCAGGGCTGGGCACTCAGGCCAACTGCTGAACAGCCAAGCACCCCATCTTCATCGGCAACAAGGGGGCTTCAGGAGCAGGGCACATGGGCATGGGGAGACAAATGGTCATGGCTATGTGGTGTTTGGGAACAGAGGGGGCCTCGCCTCCTCAGTTTGTTCTTTTCTTTAAAAAAAAAAAAATCCCAAATCCCATTAAGGACCAGGTGTTTGAAGGATCTGTGGCCCTGCAGAGCTTTTCTCTACTGCTGTTCTACCCCACACGCTGATCAAAGACACTTACAGTGATGCTGCTGGCTCTTTATTTGAAATCACCGATCAGGTTGGAAATGGGGTAAAGCTGCAAAACCACATCTTCTGGGTTTATAAACATATGTGTGTGTTCCTTTTGTTTACTGCTGTATCCCTTAATCCCTGATCACTTACATTTCCCCCTGCCCTCCCCAGTCAGACTGAGCTTGCAGGGTGGAACGGGCACTCTCAGCCCCATGGACATCACAGGGATGGAGCCCTGATAAAACCTTCAGTGGGACAGACTCCGCCTCAGGTCATACCCAAACCCCTCCTGGCTTCCTCAGGCCTCTGCTCTGCAGGCAAGATCACTCTCATGATCACTTGCACCCGGTCGTGCTCAGGGAGGCCAGGTGAGCTTGGAAATGCTGTCTGAATGAGAAAAAAATAGCCTGAGTCTTGCCTGGAGGTCAAAATCACCAGAGGTGCCTTGCCCTCAGTCTCATCAACCTCTTGAAACAGATCAGATAATAAACATGTTCTTAAGAAGCGGTTTTTTTCCGAGCCAGGTTCTCATTTGTTTTATCTGCACTGGGCTGTGCATGTTAGTCTATAACTCATTCTTGCTGTTCTTTGGCAAGTGTTTTTTCTGCAAGGTGAGAAAGGGAAGAGCTGGCTGGTGTCACTCCATGGGCTACCCTGTCACACATTTGGCTACCCCATTACCTTCTTCCTGATCCCAAGGGCCCCCTCCCCCCCATCTTCTTAGGGCTTCCCCCTCCTCTCCCCACCCAGAATTTACATAGCAGCTGCAAGTGGCCCTTGTTTTGCCTAATTTTAAACTTCTACAAATGAAGGAAGATCATGACCTTGCACATGTGGCAATTTGCAAAAGGGAGAGGAAAGAAGAGCCTGCAATATGGTTGTGTGACACACACTTGTCTTCATGGATATCAGCAATAAATTGTCAAAAACATCCTGCAAAGTTGATCCTGTGAAAGGTTTTGACTCCTTAAGTTCAGGTTTTGCAGGAAGAAAGGAGCCAGCTGCTGGAATAACTGCACTGGAGCTTGGTCTGATTGAGATGTTGGGTTGGGTTCACTGAGCAAATCTCTGTACTTCTCCCCTGCAGCTCCTAAGAGAGCGAGGGTTGGTCCCAGAGTCACTGGATGCCGGATGGCCCCTGTGGTCTCAGAAGAGTCCATATTGCTTCTTCTCATTCTGCTGCTTCCATTTGGGCATCTGGTAGAACTCGTCCTTGGACTTCCCAAAGATATCATGGAAATCGGCATCAGAGAGATAGCACTGCAGCAGGAGGAGAGAGCAAGGAGTGGTCAGCTTTGGCTTTTGCAGAGGCTAGGACACCTCTCTTGGCTGCATCCCTTCCTCACATGCTGACCCCTGATTCCAGGCCAACAGCTCCTGTCCTGCTGCCTGTCCTTGTGGTGGGAAGTGGAATGCCCCAGCAACTGTTCCTCATCCCGTTTCTCAAAGCAC